AGATTGAAAAGCTCTCCTAAGGTCTACAGAATTATGACCCCTGATTCCACATCCTTCTTCTGTCTACCACCTTGAGCAGCCTTTGCTCAAAAAAGCAAGTGACTCGGCACAATTTCCTTTGCAGAAAGAAGGTGAAGTGAGGAAGCAGATGACACAGATAAATCCTGGAGAGGAAAAGGGGAATCTCTTCTTTTCTCCTGACATTCCCCTAAGCACTTGCTAAAACAAGAGCACAAACGTGGTTTTACTCCCAAACTAAGACATATCAAGTCTCTTGTGTTATAGATGCATATTTGGAACAGGTGAACCACGTACCTGGGTAGAACACGTGAGCCTTCTAATTTTAGAATGACTTCAGCTCAACGTGGGAAAACTCTAGACAATGGAATGGGGAAGCACTTTGCAGCTCTGAAAAGCTTTTGTTAAGTGAGATGAGCAATAACCAGATCCCTTGCTTGCTGGCTGACCCATGTTCTACCTGTTTCCAAACAAGTAATGGCTTCAAAGGTATTTCCCTATAATCTGATATGCTCTCCTTCTGTGCACCTTGAGCCCGAACTTGTCGTCTCAATATATTTGTGCCCAGGATCCCTATCACCAGCTTCCAAGTAAACTAATAATGGTGATATTCTCCATAAGTAGCCACATCGTAACTTTTCCATGATTTTTTATCACCACCTCTGTTAAGTCTCCAAGATACTAAATTAAGGAACACTCAAGCACACCCTGATTCCAGGTGGGTGTCATTAGACACAGACAAGATGAAGGAGCAGAAGTTCAGAGGTTTAAAGAGCCGCCCTGAGTACCCAGATCATGCAAGGCAGATAGCCGAGGGAAGCCTGGAACCTGGCACCCAGGCGTCTGAGTGAGGCCATCACCACACCCCCTTGGTCATTAGAGTGAGTCTCATGAAAATATGAGAACCAGATGGGCGGCCTGGGAACTGTGCAACATTTCTGAGGGTTAAGCAAGCAGCCACCCAACAACTTCTGAGCTAGGGTGCATTCTGTCCCTTTTAAGGGGGTATTAAAAAGTGCCTTTTGAAGCTAGGTCTTACTCCTTCCTGCGAGGGTGTGACAGATGTTCTAAGCTATCAGTGCTGCCACTCTCACCCTGTCTGTAGTTCATGTTACCGTGCAGATAGAAGCGCTCTGTTTCAAACTGTAGACTATTGGTTTCACTCCCACAGTAAGTATTTTCTAAGGATGCACGGAGCAGTCAGCGGAGGGTGCTGTGTCATGATCATGCCCTCCACATGAATTCCTATGCTGCCTTTTCATCTGCAGTGCGCTCCTTGAGGGCAAGGCAGAGAAGGCCTGCTTTTCTGTGCAGTTCCAGCAACTAGAATGTTAGAACCTGAATGTAAAATAGCAGCTAGCCTCAAGAGAATCAAATCTGTGGCAATCACACTTCTACCTCTCCATCCTAGGTCCCTAGGTCCATGGGAGACATCACCAGTTGATCACTGCAGTACGTCATGGAACTACAGCTATGTTTTAAAAAATTCTTTTCTATTAGTTATATATAATGGGGCCAGTCTGTGCCCTGGTGGTGAAGGTGCTAGATCCCACGTGGCTAACCTTGCAGTTGGAATCCTGGCCCTGGCAGCTTTGAAAACATGCTGGGGGTGTGTGTGCGCATGCCTGGACTTCCCAGAGGAGGGAGAAATGAAGGAGAAGGGATTGCAGCATGATCGTGCCCCATGGGCGGCTGCTTTTTCATACCCCCCACCTCTGTCTCTAGTGAATACATGTGCCCTTTGACAAAATTAAAAAAAAAAAAGGTACATCACGAAGTGTTCACAAGTGAATGGGCTTTGCTTTAAGTACCCCAACAAAGGGGGTGTGTGTGGGGGGGGATAGATGCGAAAAAAATGCCAGAGTGATGTTAATGGTTGAAGCTGGGTGATTGGGTCTATGGGGACTGATTTCATTTTTACTTCTTTTCTGTGGGTAAAAGTTTCCCAAATACAAAGTCAACAGTTTCACTTATCAAATTGGCCCAAAGTTAAACATGCACATGAACACGCACTCACACACAATGCTGGGGAGGCTGAGTGTGGCTGGTGGGGGTTGGTACCCAGTTTGAGCTGCACCCACCATAGGACTGCAGCCCTGTCTGTGAGGAGACAGCGGGGTGGGCTGCAGGGCCAAGGACTCTCAGGGCTGAGGAGTCTTGCAGGACTCAGGCAGGCCAGCCTGAGGAACAGAAAGTAGAGAAAACCAGCTTGATTCAGTCACGAAGCCCCAAGCTGTGGAGGGGTGACTATGACCCGGTCACTATTGGACTTGTCTCCTAGCTCAGCCCTCTCTGAACTCAGGCTTGGGTGCCATAGGCAGGGCAGAGAGTCGACAAACATGGAAAGAGTTATTTGGTGAATCTCTAAATTATTGGGGTGCAAGTTCCATGGCTAAGGAAAACAATAAGCAGATAGCAACACATGGGTCAGATGGGCACCCCAGCTCTCTTCTCCACAAGCCCCAGGCCAACTGTGGGGGCTCACAGCTCTACCCTCACTCCCTACTGTGGGCCAGAGAGTGGCATCAGCCAGTCACAGGGGACAATGTGGCATAGAAGGGGCTTGCCTGTGCATCACCACCAGGGAAAGTCAACCTCAGGTCCTTGCCCATGTGGGGGTCGTTCTCATAGCGGAGGAGAACGCCAATCCTGTGGCAAGGACAGGCATTTTCAGATTAATGCATCAGTCTGTCCATGTCTGCCAAGGAAGGCCTGGGAAACTCCAAAAGGCCTAGGCAGAGGCCACGCCAAGCCCCTAAGGGAAAAGGCTCAGGCATGACCGCCCTTGGGCTTTTTTTGGTCTGTATGAATGAACAGAGATTTGGAAGGGGGTATAATGACCAGGCGTGTTCCCTTCCCATGCATGGTAGTGTCAGCATTTGCTATCATGCAACTGGTCACCCGAAGGTGAGGACCTGGCTCCTGGCTTACAAGGTCCTATAGTGAGGACTACAAAGGCTGAAGAGAACCAGAAAATGGGAGAAGGGGGCCCATGGATCCAACACATCTGGCCCAGCCTCCAGGCCTTTATGCTTCAGTCTACTCAACTAGGTCAAAAAGATGCAAAAGGGTTATAGTCCACACAGGAGGCATCTCAACCGAGCAGGATGCCTGGAGATAGGTAACAGAGACACATATTAGCACAAGTGGTAACTCCCAACTGGCCCAGTGTCCAGGATCTCACAAACAATGGCTAGTGAATTACTGCTGCCGGAGTATCAGCATTTCCCAGTGTTTAGTCAGGTCACCAGAGGTCTATCTGTAGGAGGGGCTGAAATTGCACCTGTGAGGAGAAGATTGGGGCAATTCAGAGGACAGCATGGTGGAGTCACTGGGCTATCCTCCTCCATGTTCAGATCCGAGGCCTTTGTGTGTGGGCGGTAACTCAGAAGTGGAAGACCTGCTTCATGGAAGCTCTGGTAGACCGTTCCCCATAAGCACTGCTTTGAGATAGACAGACTCACATCTTCCCATCTCCAGCCCCAACAAAGCATGGCATGTGAGGGGACTTCAAAAAGTTCATGAAAAATGGAATTAGGGTTTATTTTAATGCAAAAAGTTTTTGAAATCTATGCATACTTTTCTCATAATATGTATTTTCCATAAAGTCTTTGAAGACCTCTCCTCACAAAGGAAGAGAGGCATTTTCTTCTGTGTCATCAGGAACCACTGAGTGGCTTGGGTATCATAAGGGTTCAAGTGCATTGACAATAAGAGTGCCAAGAGGGGACTGTGGGGCTGCAAAAGCAGTGGCACCCAGTGGGAGTGGCAGTGTCACCTACAGTAGGGTCGGAGAGAAAGATATAGAAGAGAGGAAGAACAAAGTACCAAGGACACTGTTGGTTGGTTAGAAAATTTATGGACATAGAACTACCCGGCCCTCCCTGCTGGGACCTCCCTGAAATAACTAGGGAGACAGAGCTGGGGCTGCTGCTGGAACAGATGGAGCAGAAGTCAGTGGGACGTACTCCGTGTTCACAAGGGAACAGTGAAACTGGAGGACTTAGGCTTCGCTAGTAAAAACCAGTGCAATTTACTTGAGAAGCTATTTGGCAACCCCTACCAAGGGGCATGGATGTATTTGTTCCTGCTCCTGGAGATATATCTTCAGGAAAGAATTCGCAAGAAGGAGAACGCTTCTAGGCATGCAGATGTAGTATCATAACTTCAAAAACCGGAGGCACCATAAATATCCCACAGGGAATTCTTAATTAAGTCACATGTGCCCATTTTAATAGAACACTGTGACATTTTGAAAGGATAAATTCCAGGACGTTCCAGCAACATGGAAACATGCACAACTCGCCCCTCCCCCCGCACTGAGATCTGAATTTAAAAAGGAGAAATCAAAATATTTCCCTCACCAGGGCTAATGGTACAAAAATATGAACGCATACAGACAAAGGCTAAAAGCAGCATGTTAGTGTAACGGTGGATGCTTCTCTGCAGTGGTATGGTCAGGAATGGTTTATCTCCTGCACCCCCAAGCTCCCCGAGATGCTGATCTAGGTAGGGTCTACCTTTATAATGGAAGAAAGGAAACCAGTACAACAAATATCAAAACATAAACCAGAAAATAACGAAACGAAGATCGCCAGGCAGAAGCAGACCAGGGACTTCAAGAATCTGCATTCTTCAGATGAACTGTTCCATGAGCTGGAACAATGTGGCTAGCTCCAGACCCTTGGATCCTGCAGGGCCCACATTCCAGCACTCTTGCCCACACTAACTGAGCAGCCAGGAACAGGTGGGAGCAGGTGGGGCCCTGAAGAATCCAGGAACAACCCCCCATTCCCCTTGGGCCTACAGCTAAGACCTTCTAGCAAGCACTCCCTTGGGCCAGTGGAGAGAGAGCTGCAGGGTCAGGGTGCAGGAGGCACAGGCAGGGAGCTCCCCAGGTGAGCTCGGGCTCCACACGGCTGGCTTTCTGCCTTCCCATACCCTGTGCACCAGCACACACACCCAGGAGAAGCTGGACTCACCACTCAGAGGGGACGTGCTGTTCTCCAGGGCTTGGCACACGGCCAGCACGATACCTGTGAGGAGAAGAGGAAGGAGAGGTGAGAGCGTGTTCAGCGAGAGCCAGCCTCAGACAATCTCCAGCAGGGCCTCTGAGACTTGGGAATTTGAACAAAGTGGTCCAAGGACAGGTCCAGCTGCATCCATTCTGGGGCTCAGTGTAAAATGGAAACAAAGATCCCTTGTTCAAAAAGCAGGAAAAGGGGCCAGCATGTGGCATGGAGGTTCAGGCAGCTGGATCCCACAGAGCTGACTCTGGAGTTCGAATCCTGGACCTGACAGCTTGGAAATCATGCCGGGTATGTGTGCGTGTGTGTGCCTCAAATCCTGAGAGGAGAATGAAAGAGAAAGGACTGGGCTGTGACCATCATTTTCCCTCTCTCTCTGTCTGTCTCTGGTGGGTGCACTCACCCTATAGCAAGCACTAACAGAAACAAAACCAAAAATGGTAGGAAAAAAGTGCCCATTGATGACACTAAAATACAGATTTTTTTCCCCCTTTTCTTTCATAGTCTCTCGATCCACCTGTCATGGTACTTTCTCACATTATTTTTTTTTGGGGGGAGAGGTTTTTGCTATAGGGCGTGCGCACTCGCCAGACAGACAGAGAGAGACAGAGAGACAGAAAGCAAGAAATCACCCCCCAGGGGGGATGGTCACGCCGCAATCCCTTCTCCTCCATTCTCCTCTGGGGATCTTGGGCATGCACGCATACGAGCCCAGCGTGAGTTTAAGCCACCAGGCCCAGGACTTGAACCGTGGTCGACTACATGGGAGTCCACCGACATAGCCATTATGCCAATTGCTGGTCCCAATTTTCTCACGTTTTTTGATACCTTATAAACATATTTTTTTGTGTGGTAGAAAATATACATAAAATTTATCATGTGAACCATCTTTTTTTTTTTTTTATTAAATCACTTTACACCATCACAATAGAAGGGCCCGCGACGTCCCGCGGTCGGACGCAGCCTTGGCGCCCCAAAATACTTTGCCCATCTTGAAACACCTCCCATACCAATCCAGTTGAGAATACTATACATGTCATCATCAACAGTTTATAAGCCCTCTCTATTTCTCACTAACGTCCTGACTCTCTATTGTTCACTTGCTATCCCCTTCTATCCTCTTCTCTTCACTCACCCCACTCCACATTGTCCTATTCTCATTAAGTACCTTCACTGTTTTTATGTCCTCCGATTTATTGCTCTCTACTATAGAGTGCGGATAGTCGGTGTATATTGAGTGGATATATACAATATCTTTCTTTCATAGCCTGGCTTATTTCACTCAGCAATAGATCCTCCATACCAGCATGTTATCATCAATAATATTCCATTTCTACTTTCATACAATGTATACATACATATATGTTTTTTATCCTATCTTTGACCCTCTGCCCTTTCCCCCTCTCCCATTACACTATCTCTGCTATATACAGTTGTCTTCCAGGGGAACCATTGAAAATGTGATACCTGCAAGTAAAGGGAGAAGGGCCACAAGTTTAAAGTTTTCAACAATAGGGATCATAGATTCCATTCAATGTTGGATCAAGGGTGGGTCTCTTGCGGATCCGCCATTGTAGGAATGGTGCCGTGGGGGTCTACAGCGTGAGCTATCCTCGGGCATCTGGCTTCCTCAAGAATGGCAGAGTAGTTCCTATTCTTCCCTGAGGCAATGCAGGGATGTGAACCATCTTTAAGAGTCCATGTTAGTGCTATTAAGTACATTCACATTGCTATGCATGCATGGCGCTTTTGTTATTTATGTCATGTTCTTCTGAGGGCGTGCAGATACTTGCAGGGTAAGCGTGGCCACTGAAGAGTGCATGGGGTCCTGGTGACAAAGTGCACAAGGATGCAGGGGCCACCGACTGCTGAGCTTTCCTCCCAGGCAGCAGCTGGACAGATGTGCTATGGTCAAGCTGGGTGCAGAAAAGTCTAGTCAGGTGTTTCCTCTTTCCAGGAATCAGCAGCCCCAATCTACAGTGTAGGGTGACCCCAAGGATACTGCACTCTCCGTGCCAGGATGCTCTCAGTACCTGGATATGGGGAAGTGGGGAGACTTCCCCTTCACTATTTGCCTAGCGAACATGCCCTGGAGATGTAGGCTCAGGGTGGAGACAGTTGCCACCATGCCCTGCCCTGAGATACAGTGGGATGCCATGCCCACACTTAACTCCAGTCTGTTTTGTGTGTCTAGGTCCCACCAGGAAGAAGAGCCCACCCAGGAGAGGCAAAGAGATGGCGTTAGGCAGGACCACGGGGACCTGCAAGGCCCCAGTCACATTCCATTGTCCGGCCAGACTTCATTTCCAAGACACAAATTCAAAGATAAAACTATGCACTTGCGACTGCAACTGCAGTGTCAAATCCCAGACTCAGGGCCCTCCTGAGCACCGGACTCTCTGTGCCACTGAGGTCATATGCCCCTAAAGCCACTCCTGTCATCAGATGACCTTAAATGCCCTCACATTACAGTACTGAAAAACAGGCCAGCAAAAATCCCACAAAGAAGGAACCTGGTGTGAACTACACAATCAGCATGAACGCACCCAAAATGACTTCCCAAAAACTGAAATGCAAAACGATGCCACAGTGACCATGCAAAAGGGTTGGCCTCCGACAGGTTAGCCCAGAAGGCATGTGATTCAAGTCTGCCCAGAAAACAAGAAGAGTTCTGCCTGACACTCCTGCAGTGCACGGGACTGGGGCAACCCCGGCCTCACTGCCCCTCCTCTCTCAGTGTAACACACCTGTCTGCCTCCGGGGACTGGGGCGGGTGGGAGACGCACTTGGAACAGATACAGCAATCATGCTCACAACTCTTTCAGCCTTTGACATGAGACACATCATAGGAACTTTTACTGGAGGCCTGGGGTGGACTTCCCAGATTTCTTTTTTTGTTGTTGTTATTGTTTCTTTTTGAGAGAGATTTTTGCTATATAGTGCATGTACTCACCAGAAAGACAGACAGAGACAGAGATAGAGAGAGAGATCACTCCCCAGGGGGCTAACCATGCCATAATCCCTTTTCCTCCATTCTCCTCTTGAGATTTTAGGCATGTATGTACACATGCCTGGCATATGAGTTTTAAGCCGCTGGGTCTGGGACTTGAACCGTGATCGGTCATGTGGGAGTCTAGGACCCCAACCACCATGCCGCCTGCTGGCCCCCCAAATATTTCTACAGAATCCTGACCCAGATAGTTGGCCTGGAGTTGGAGGCAGGGTAGGGTTGGAACGGAGAGAGAAAGTTAGTAAAATCATGTGTCTTCCCTGTGCAATTTTTTCTTGTTGCTCAAAGGATGCTAATTTTGGGAGCCAGGCTCTTAGGGGTCCCCAGGACACATTTAAAAGGGTAAGTCTGTAACCCACACCCCAAGTGTTAAAATGAGGCATTCTTATCCAGGCCAGGAAGAGCCGTGGTGGTGGCATGCTCAGAGCTGGGAGTGGCCTGGCACTGCCAGGTGGCACGGTTGGCAGTAAACTGAACTGCAGTGCTGGAAGCCACACAGCTGACTTGAGTTTGGATCCCTGGGTTGGACTGAAAACACACCTGGTGCATGTGCCTGTGTCCAAGGTCCTGAGGGCTAGAAAGCTGGGGAGAGGAGACTGGAGTGTGACAACACTGTCCTCTCTCTCTCTCTTGCACACGTGCTCTCTGTCATGAGTAAAATACGTAACTTAAATAAAAAAGCTGGGAACAGTCGCATTCTGACTTTGCTGGCACCACCACAAACCACTCTAAACCAAAATCAGCCGGTGATCTGTAATCACGTCAAAGATGACATGGGATGCTTTGCATACCTCTTGAGGGGGAGTGTGACTGGCCTGTCATGAACTGTCCCTGAACTAATGCATTATCTTCACACCTCGTTCCCCACCCCGTATCCCGTCAGTCCGGGTGAACATAGTAGTTCCTGGTCCAAGGAGGCCACTGCTTAAGCACGACTGCGACGAGACGGCAAACACTGTACAGCTGCACCCCGGCCAGCGCAACGCATGCCAGCTGTCCAGGAAGATAAGGGTGTGAGACAGGGGCCCGCTCTGGGCTACCAGCTGCCAAGCCCTCGGGCACTTGGGGAATTAATGTGTGCAAAACTACCGTGTTGTACAGATAAAAGATGCTGCATTTTTATTCACAACTTGAGCACCCTGACAGGGATAGTTGCTTTCTGTACCTGCACAAGGCCACAGAAAACAACCCTGGAAGCCCTGGGGTTCTGCCATCTTAGTTCATGTGCCATTGAGCTGAGGCTCTGCAATGCGAGGCCAGGCCTCTGCTCTCTCTTCACTAGACTGTGAGCTCCCTGAGAGGGTAAGAAGACAGGGGCTCGGCGCTTACGTCTCAGGTGGGTGTGTACCACGTATTGGGCATGCATTTGTTCCGGGCCCAGCATGCGGGTGCTGCAAGAGTTATCTTACTTAGTCCCCTTAACAACCCATGACCTAGGCACTTCCCAGTCTCCCTGCCTTCTGGTCCAGCCAGTGCAAACAACCCACTGTTCAGATGAGGAAACTTAGAGAGGTTAAGACATTTGCCAATGTTCCTGCAGCCAGATTTAAACTCAAGTCTGTCCAAATCCCATGCCTAAGGCAGTGCTTCATCACCGCACCACACAACAGTCCTTCTGACCACAACTTGCCAGGGAGTCCTGCTAGGAGTGTGTTCATCACTTAATGGTCCACCTGATTAGTCCTCGAAATGGACTCAGCAGGCCTGGCGTCGGGCCTTCGATCTCCCCTCTGAGCCAGGTCTGTCTGGGGTAAGAGTGTGAGTATCCAGACTCACCAGCTGCCCCACCTGCCCAGGCTCTGGCCATGCTGCTGTGCTGGAAAGTCGGCTGTGTGAAGGCCTTCCAGGAACAGCCACAGGGACAGCCACCACATGCAGTGGCTCTGGGTGACATGCAGTTCAGATGCAGGCTTGACAGCCACCACCATGGCTTCCTCCTGACTGAGGTTCAAAGCCAGACCTTGCCTGCCATGGGCTGGGGACAGGAAGGCAGGCTTGA